GTTGTGCTTCAAGTACGTCTAGTTTCTGGTTGGAAAAAAATGTTGATGGAACAGCGCTTTTTGTCAGAAAGTGTGTTCCACGTGGTAGGACGCTGTCAGTTTTTCCCCAAGACTGCCTGTTAGAGGAGAGAAGTGGGGGTGGGTGGCGGGAAAGTTTTCTGATGTTTTTAGTATCCGTTTTAAAACAGTTTTAAAACAGGACAGTTCAGTCTCTCACTTCTGAAATGACATTTTGGCTTCAAGCTTTACTATTATTTGTTGCTTTCTACGTGGGATAAAATAAAAAATCGACATTGAAACAAACTGTAAATATTTTATCACTACTACACTTTGAAATTCACAACAATGACATTTTCAATCCACCCAAAATGAATTTTCCTTCTAGACTTTCATGGGAGAACCTGGAAATTCAGAGGGTTCATTCAAAATGGGGAACAAAGCTGGATTCAGAAAACTCCTTTGCAAAGCAGCTGTATCTGCAAGAGACCTTTAAGGGAACCACTCATCATGTTGCACACTAGTAGCTCTGGGGAAAGTGGGCCAAGCCTGCCTGCTTTTCAGCCCACTGGCTACAGTAGTTGCTTGGACAGACTGCCCAGGGTTTGGCTGGGTGCCAGGGTCTTATCTACTGGAAGTACTTGGGAGGACGTATTGCTGTTGGGGATTGGTGCGTGGTGGCTTTTATTTGTCTTTTGTGAATGCATGTGGCTGGCATCTAAATATTAAGCACCGCAGTTACTCCCCTAAGGTTTAATAGCACAATGCAGTGTGCAACCAGTGTTTGCAGCAGGTACAATGTCCTGCAGGCTGTCTTGCATTTAAGAACACAGAACAACACACAAAGATATTACTTCAGAGCCTTTTATCACTAACCCAGGTAACATATAATAGAATGAGCACCTTTCTCCTGACTTTAAGGATGGTTTATACTGTTAGGGCTGTGAAAGGGGGCCTGGGTGCACATGGAAATCCTGCCTGCTGCGTGCAAACCATTTGCATGGCCCCAAATCCAATCCCCCCTCTGGGCTTTTCCCTTCAAGGTTGTGGGCTATGAACTGAGGCACAGATGCACTGCTGGCTTCCCCAGATCAAAGTGCCTTCCTTTCTTTTGCTTGTAGAAAGACAGCCTGAGACTGGACGGCATTCTGCCTGGCATGAATCACTCCAGCACTTATTCTTTCCTCTGGTGGGGAGGGGAAGGGGCTTGCTCCTTGCATGCTCCAGAGGAAGGCTAGGCTGCAGGAGGAAGCGCCAAACTGGGGCAGGCAACGCGCGGCACGTGCCCTCTAGCTTGCTCATCGTAGAGGGATGTGAAGCACTGCTGGAGTGACTCATAATCCCTGAATGGGCTCCAAGGGTTGTAGCGGTAGCGAGAAGATCAGGGGGAAGTTGGATTGGGTGGGATTATGGGGAGGCTGGGCTCCTTGGTGGTCGTGCTCCTATCTAATGACCTTCTGTGTGCCAGGAACCTGTAGCAGGAATAAGGAGTCGCTTGCCTCTGTCTAGGGCCAAGCTGGTTCCATCCCCATGGGGGACAAGGGTGTAGCAGGCCCATGGGCTTGTTGCCTTCTCTCGGGTACTGACAGCTAGGTCATGCCCTACTTTCCTTCTGAGCTGTCCCATGAGACCCTTCTGGAGGGAATGCCACCCACCTGGTATCCCACTCATCCCAGGAAGGACAGGGCAGGCTGGTGGCAGCAACACCTGGCATCTTGGAGAGGTGAAACAGCAGCCACACCACCGGGAAGATCCTGGGGGATGCTGGGGATGGGGCTACCTTCTGAGTTAGGTGTTTCGTATTCCCCCTTCCTGCAGTGTCGGCTGGATACGGGGTTGTTCTTTACCTCCTGTCCTGGAGGTGGCTGGGGGTGGATGTGACCTGGTTTGGTAGAGTTGTGTGCGGTTCGTGCACATGAACATGCACCATGTTCAAATGAAAGCAGGTATGATGAAACCAATGTTAGCAGAGTCATTAGGCTTAATTAACAAGCATGTTTAGTACTGGGAGAAAAATCCTTGGCTGAAGGTGGGGCAGGGACCTGACTCTCCTTTTGCTTGCCCCTGGTCTCGCACTGCTGAGGCTGCAGTGACTTAATGGGAGATGACCCATCTGAGCATGGGATCTCCTGGACACCTAGGTCTCCAAGCCTGTTGTCAGCTTTTGCCATGCCTTCCGGGAGCTGAGGTGGGGGTGCAAAGGCAAACAAAAACACCTCTTCTCATTCCTACTGGCCTGCCTCATGCCTGCTTGGGGCTGGTGGTAGCTCAGAACGTAGCTGTTGGTGGTGAATTGGTGAATAATTCATGCACTGAGTTGGTGTTCATTAGGATGAGGTCTGGGATTCTGTTTTGGTTATTTAAGGGTGGTCATTTCTGAGGCCTTTGTCTCACAATAGCTCCCTTGATGGCCTCCAAGAGCTTTAATGTATTTATAGTATGATGTCCTTAGCCTATTCCTACTCAGTGACTAACTCTCTGTGCCAGGGTTTGCATAACAAGCTGTGAAGGTAAGTGGCTTATTTCCACCCCAGGTTCACCTAGAAGCAGCAGCATGAGAAACTTTTGAGTTTTTATTTTTAAATGCTGGAAAAGCATCAGAAACAGGCCTGTTGTTTGATCACCATCACCCCGGCACAGATCTGCAGTCACCTCATTGAAGTCGATGGCTGCTTCAGGCTTACCGTGGTGAAAAACTGATCAGAGGTGTCTAATCCAAGCTACTTAGATTTACTGGCACAGCAGGCACTAATAAATGGCCTGTTCTCTTGCCCCTAGTTGATGCATCTTGCAAGGCAGGAGGAAGCTGGATTATGTCTGCAAGACCCCTGATGTCGTGCTACGCCGGATAACAAACTCCTGCTAAATTGGATCAGCTTCTCAGCCGGCAACCCCTCTGATAGCTGACAGGGAGTCAGGGCAAGGCGTGCTGTGCTTCCAGCCCTGGGATGCCAAGAACTTGACTGCTTGCTTTGATAAACACCGGGCGCTGATGTGTCAAGACCCAGAGCCTTCGATAGCATTCGTTGCTGCCGAGGTTCCAGGGGGAGGCAGGTGTGAAGCGGCATTCGTCTGGAAATTGTGCAGCACTCGTCAGCCGGGTGCTTTGAAAATGTCCAGGCCGTGGCGTAGCAGCTTGGTTTTCCCATGGATTAGGCATTGCGGGAAAGGGAGGCACAATCAGGGATATGAGCCATGCTGGGCCCTCCTGCTTGGGCCTGATCAGTATTTCAAACCCAGTCCTAGGCGCCACCTCTTGCAACTGGTTTCCCCTTTGGCAAACCTCACCAAGTACCTCTGCCAGGGGAAGTCCCAGTGCCAGGCCACACCAGAGGCTGGGAGAAGGCTGCATGAGCCTGGCCTGCTGTTATAGATCAACCCTTCCACTACGCAGTGATGTGTGGGAGAGGGGAGCAGGGTGGGGGGACTGTGTGGAAGGCGCCCCGCTGCCCAGGCCCTCTGTGGGGAGCACAACGGGGTCCGTCATGGGGCCCACACACTCATGGAAATTAGGGACCCGATCTGAAGTCCACTGCAGTTGTCATCTCTCCACGACCCCCAGGGGGGATGCAGAGCCCTGCGCGGACTCCTGTCTTGGGTGCAGGAGAGACACAAGGCTAGGATTAGGAGAGGGAGATTATGCCTGGAGGGGCGAAGCTTGGAGCACATAGACAAAACTTGCGGGCTGCCACAGAGCCTTCAGCCAAGTCCCTCATTGGGACCAGGGGAGATGACACAAAAATGCAAGATTTACTAAGCACATTGATTTCCCATTTTGAAGAAAAGCTGTAAAATTGCAGCCGGTTAAGGGTAGGGGGTGGTGGTAGGGTACACAGGGGTCAACAGCTGCCTGTGCAAAGCCATTTTTTAATTGGGAAAGACAGCTTTACCTCGTGAAAGGCTGCCCAGCCCTACCGAAGCTGTCGGTCAGGTGGGCAAGCACCTTGTGTCTGACCCCCCCCGCAACTGAGGACTGCAGACATTAGGCAGGGGCAAAGTCCCGTGCACCCTTTCTCTACCTGTATGAAGCGGCTCTCTCTGCAGCGTGTCATGTCCTGCTTTGTCCCACTCTGCTCTGTCGCAGCTGCGCCTTTCCCAAGAGACTTTCCTCTCTCTCACAAGCATTTGCTCTGAGGACCAGGCACCGTAAATTCCTTTATCCTTTCCTCTTGTTTTGGCTTTTGCAATTATCTACAAACAGTGAGTTTCCTTTATGGCCCACACGTCTCAGAAAATAGCCATAATGTGCCACAGTGCAGAAGACTGCCACAAGGACAAGAGCTTTGCATCTGTCTGTCTGCCCATGCAGGGTGGTGCGGTGGTGTGTGTTTGCGGTTCAGGCTGCATCCTACTCTGTCAGCAGGTAGTGGTGCTAATTGTTTCATAGATTTCATAGACATTTGGGCTGGAAGGGACCTCGGAAGATCATCAAGTCCAACCCCCCGCCCAAAGGGCAGGAAGTCAGCTGGGCTCATAGGATCCCATAGCTGGGGTTAGGAGCACTGGTTTCAAAACCCACGTGCGTAACCCAAGACAACAAATCCAGGGTTATAGTCTGGTCTTTTCCCTGTACCTAATAGGCCTGCATTATCTTACTGGGTTTTTTGTTGCTGTTGTTGATGAATTGACCCACAAGACTTACTGGGTTGGAATTAGGAAAAACCTTCTCATTAGGAGGGCAGTGAAGCACTGGAACAGGTTACCCAGAGAGGTAGGTGGTGGACTTTCCATCCTTGGAGTTTTTTAAGACTTGGCTAGACAAAGCCTTGGCTGGGATGATGTAGTTGGGGTTGATCCTGCCTGGAGCAGGGGTTTGGACTAGGTGTGACCTTCTGAGATCCCTTCCAGCCCCCGTTTTCTATGACTGATTCTGTGATTTCACAGAGGGAACCTGCAACCGCCCCAGTCTCACCCTCTGCTTTGCACTGACTTGCAGCCTAGGTCTTTCCAAGCACGAAGCCCTGAAGCAGCTCCCTGATGTCTGTTCCTTTGCTCCGTTTCAGGTTGCATCTCCAGAGAGTTGGCAAGCCGCAGTGGGAGCATCTCCTACTTCCAAACCGCGCATCATCCTGATTGCTTCCTCTGCAGTCCCTGCTGGTCTAGTCTGGTTACCTACATGCGAGGGAGGCTGCTTGACTTGGCTTCTACAAGCAAAGGTAGGAGATCATCTTTCTCATGAATGAGGGGGCAGTGAGGGACCGTCTTGGCTTTTTGTGTGCCCAAAGAATTGGTTACGGGCAGCTTGCTGACTCTCCGTTTGCATATAGCTAGGCTAGTTGCTGGTTTTCTGTTTCGGCTGGAGTGGAAGTGTTGGGGGAGAGGGTGCAGCATGGGATGTGACTTGTGATGCTAAGAACCCAAACCAGAGAGGAAGATGCTGGAAGAAACCTCTTACCCTGAGAAGCCAAGGCAACATCTTCTCCTATCCCAAAGTGCAATTCTCCCTAGTGCAGGCAGTGCCCTGGGCATGTTGTCTGTGGGCAGTGTTGGAGCAGATCTGCACGTATCTATGGAGAGGAGGTGCCAGACAGTAATGCTTAAATGTGCCTGGTTTCCGGCGCACGGCACTGGTACCTCTGTGCCTTGGCTCTTGGCGCTGTCAGGGTGTAAACTGCACTCTCCTTGGAGAGTGTGAATATGTAACGCGGACAGGGGCCAGGGCTTGGTTCTGTTTGGCATGGAAGTGCAAAGTCATTAACCTCTCTGGGCAGGTGGACATGTCTCTGGTGAGACACATCCCCACCTTGAGAAGCAGCCTTCTTTTATAAAACATGCTTCAAGCTGGGGCTTGCTTCTCCCTTGTCCTCGAAGGCCTGTTGACAGCTGTGCCAGGAGCCCCATTACCTGAGCACTTATGCAAGGTCAGCTGCCTGGGAAAGGGAGTGAGGTCTAGAGTCCTATGCTCCGTTCAGGCTGTGGTTTGACACACCAGCTGCCCTCTCTGCCTGTGGTGTTTTGGGAACCAAAGCTGCTGGAAGCCAGTCAGAGCTCTTCCTCACCAGCTGAAACCTCGGCGCTTGCAAACTCAGCCCTGTTTTGTTTGTTTTTTTTCCTTAATTGCTGACATATGAGGCTGTCCTACAGTGGGACGGTGAAAGGATTTGCCTGCTGGCAATTACTCCAGGCCTGTCCTTTCCACAGAGAGGGAAAAAGAGAAGCAAAACAAGAGACTCAAGTCATTAGGCAAGTTGTCGCATGACCATCGTGGATGGATAAATGTAGGCTCTTCTGTATCCCCCCGGGATACAGACACCAAGTATCTAGCTTTCCAAGCCTCAGTTCCCATCTCGCCTCCCCTCCCTTTCCCCCTCTGTCTGCCTCTTCCTCTGCTAGCCTTTTGGGCAGGGGATCCCCAACTCTCTGTGCAGCCCTGAGCTGGTTGGGATGCTACGAGTGAAGACACTGCAGCTCCCTCGTGTTAGTGATGTCACGAGGTCTTGGTCACCTCGAGACCCTTACCCTTAAATGGGTGGCATTTCCCTGATGCCCTGCTGAGCAGAGCCTGTGTTCAACCCTTGGAGGGTTAATAGGACTTGTGATTTATTTAGTGGTACACATTTTTATTTAGAGATATGATTCTGTTGAAATCCCCTCCTTTTTCACCCTCTTGGTGCTTGAATAGTTGCAGTGCTTGGACAGCTGAAAACCTCCATGAAGCACATGGCTTTGCTGGAGACAATACTCCCAGGGCCTGGACCACTCTTCCTGTCTCTAGCTGGACATACCCTTGCCTTTTCGCATTTCTCGGTTTCCCTGTCTGTAAAATGGGCATAGCAATATTGCTCCTCCTTTGTCATGATCTGTGGTGGGAGAGAGCAGGGCACAGCTGGAGGGGCCCAGCAGTTTGGGGATCAACCCCAGGAGTGGCCCACGCTGTGCTAGCTGGGTCATCTCTGTCAGGCTGCATAGGCTGCAAGAGCCCTGAGGCCTGAGGCAAATCCTGGGAGCTCCCATGCAACTGAGTCTCATTCCCCTTGGTGCTCGCCAAGCTCATCATGCCAGCTCATCACAAAGCTCTGGTCTTGTTTGCATTGCAGTCCTACCAAATGGCTCATTGCAACCCGTTGTAGATGGGTGCATGAATTGTGGGTCTCTGTGGGCCAAGCTGCATTTCGCACTGGCAGCAGTGTCAGAGCTGAGATGATTGCAAAGGGATCTCCTTGCCTCGCACTTCCCCGTGCCCATCAGGACCCCCTGCCCTGTGCTTTTATAGTACGACCATATTCTTCACCATGCCTGGAGCTGCAGAAAAGGCTTCTCTGGAAACAGCCAGCAAAGGAGCCAGTTGCATCTCAGATGAGCCTCAAGACAAAGTCAGGAATTGCAGAGTGGAAATACACTCCTGGTGTGCAGGGTGGAGAAATTTAATCCACTACTGGAGATACTTCTCTTTGAGAACTGAGCAAGCAGCCGTGTCACGAGAGCAGTATCACATGGAGTAGCAATGTGTGCAGCTTTCCTGCAAGGGGCACAACGAGGACCAAGGGAGCACTTAAAGCTGGAGTCAGATAAACAGGCCAAGGCACCCCGGGCTGCCGATTATTTCTCTCTCATTCTCACATTTGAAGAGGGGATGCATGAGAGCTGCCCTTCGCACCGACCCTAAGCCACAGGCCACACCTGTGTTTCCTTGGCAAGAGGGTTGGGGTGAAGCCATACTTGGGTGTATCTGCAATTAAGAGGAAATGAGCCCATCTGTCCCATCAAAATGGAAAGCGGCTGAGCAGAGACCTCCTCTCACTGAGCCCTGCGGCTTGTGAGAGGGCCGGGATCTTCCCCTGAGTCCTCTTGAGATTGGCTCCTTGGAGCCAGCTCTGTGCAGCCCCTGGGACGCTGGCCCTGCAGAAGCACGTGCAGTGCACAGGTGGGGAATACCCAGCCCACGGCGCTGGGGATGTCTCCTTGCTCTGCGAGGAATTCAGCACCTTCGTCGGTGGGAAGTGAACCATGTTCCCTGTCAACTCCCCTCAAACGACATGCCACGGCCTGGGCACAGCTGCGCCCGGCACTCATCCTCTGCACCCTGGGGGTTTTGGTCTTCAGCTCTTCATAGTCTGACAGAAATGGAGGAGCACTGGAGCGGCAAAGGTGAATGCAACCCTGGGCAGGGCAGGTTGAAGCCCTGTGCTCCCAGAAGGGCAGTAACAGCCGGGTGCTCAAGTTGCATCCGTGTTACAGGTATCCTTTACTGGAAAGAGGGCTTGGTGCACTGGGAACACTCCAGTCTGGGTGTGTGGACCTGTGCTCACCAGGTGCTGCCAGGCCCTCTCCTTACCAGGGTGGCCCGGTTACTGGAGACCTGATGATTCAGGGAAGACTGGGCACCGCTGCCCATCTCTGTTCCTCCACTCCTGCGATGCTGTGACCCACTGGTTCCCCTCTCGGGAGAAGAGGAGACACTGCCACCCGCTCTGACTTTCCTCCTTTTCTTGGAGCTGTCTGCAGAGGTACAAAAGCAGTGCCTAAAGCAAGGTGCTGACCGTGAAGTCAAGCAAGGCCACCCGCTGCAGAGAGACTGCTGAGGGCTCTGTGCCGCTGCTTGGGCATGGACACCTCCTGGTCGTGATCTCTCCAAGGAGGGGACAACAGTTGGCCATGGGATGCCTGTGCAGCACTGCACACTGCACCCAAGTCCCACAGAGCAGAGCCTGGTGCTGCTGGTTTCTGGGATGGAGGGGGACTGGAGTAATGGACCCCTTAACAAAGGCTTCCAGTCCTTGCTGTCAGAGGGGTAGTGGCAATCTGAGATGGAGGTACGTGTTCCTCTGTGCTGTCGGGTGCCCATCTTCTGAGGCACATGGTGCCTGGCTGGCAGAGGGGCTTTGCCCGTACTGGTCCCCGCACTGTAGAACGAGGGGCCCTGTGCCCAGTGCCTCAAAGGGGTGCTTTGCTCTTGCAGATAGGTAGCTAAAGGGGAGCTGATGCAGGTCCACTGGATATCTCTTCACCTGGTTCTTTCTGGCAGCAGTGAGACCAGCATGTTCCAGCCCAGCTGTCAGCTCAATGAAGATGGATGTTTGGTCCTCCTAATGCACTCATGCCTTTGGCTGAAGGACTCTGTCCCACCCCTGTTGGGGGACCTGGCATAGCCCTGGCTTTCTCTTGCTAGCTTGCCCGTGACTGCCCTGCAGTATTAGGACCAGGGAAATGCAATTCTCTTATTGCAGCAAGGGAGCAAACAGCTTCTTCAGCAGAGCTGCTGCTTCCTGGATATTTTGGTAAATGTAAGTATTCTGGTATAGTTTTCCTTTCTTGCCCTGGGTTATGCACAACGCAGAGAGCTGTGTGTGCGTGTGCATGTGTGTGTGCATAGGTGTGTCTCGCTTCATGATGCTCTTCTTTAATATTAGAGAGATTTTGCATCTTGGCGGGACCTGGGGAATGGAGAGGCTGTAACTGGAATGCAAGGTGCAAGCTTTCCCGGGCACTGTCTCCTACAGATGCCCTCCTTGCCAACGTCTCTGTTAATCTGCAGGCCATATGATATCCTCTGACTGACAGGAGCTGGACGGGGCTGTTTTGCAATTGGGAGTTAACCCTTCCAGGTGAGGAGTTGCCTGGCACGTGTGACCGAGCTGGGCAAGGAGGTGTGTGTGTGTCCTTCTCTGTGGATAATGAAAAGCAAGGCTGCTCATTAAAAGGAATTTGATCCCGTAGTTGGGGGAAGATTGCTCCTGAGCTGCTTCTACTGTGCTAAGGATAGCAGGCAGGCCTCAGCTTCCCAGCTTGCCCAGCACAGAGAGATTTTCTCCTAGGAAAGACAGTGGCCCTATTCTGTGTCTCATCCCACCAGCTACTGGGATAGCACTGGGATCCCCAGCAAACTGGGATGAGGCCACAGCATCTTGCACCACAACGCAGAAAGAAAGACCCTGCCCTGAACAACTGCTGGGCTGAATATGCAGGACAAAAGCTGGGAAGAAGAATTGCCATTGTCCCCACCTGGATGGGATGGTTTAGGGACAGGGCAGCCTGGAGCTGTGGAGAGTGCTGGGCCTGGGGATGCTGGAGGTCCCCTCCAGCTCTGTGATTACTTATAAGTCTCAAGGAGCTGACATGCTTTAGCATCCGCACGAGTAAGCTTGAAGCCTGGCTGCTGAGGTCTAGATGCGATGCTGGAAAGCTACCAGCAGCCTGTGCATCATACTTG